GAAATTAAAAAAACAACAAATGTTTTAAGAGGTACTCAAGGATTTAACAAATTAAGTATGTTCCGAGTGGTCACGTGAGTGCCAGGAAAGACTATGTGGTCAATTTAGTCCAATTTCGTGTTTGTTGGTAAGGTGTACTGAGACTGTATAGACTTGCAGCATTACATGGTGATGCACATAAGCTCTAAGCCCATGGGTTGATTATTTTAAATCATTGACTCCCATTATGGAGTATGAGCCCCGACCAACAGTTATATGTGGGGCATGTTGAAAGCAGAGATTGTCTTTCAATACCGGACCACTGAGTGAATCTTTATTTTACTTTTATATCTACAGGATGTATTCTACAATGTCCGACTGGAGCCCCAGCATGTTATTAAGAAGAGGAGCGCTGACCAGCCACTTCGAATATTTCTTTATTTTGATAAGAGCCTCCAGTATTTACCATCAGCCCATCAAGACCTCGTTAAGGTATACGCGGAGAAATAAAGAAGTGTTGTTGAATTGAATGAGGCAGTTAATAAACTGTAACTTATAAGCTTCGGGTCCCAAAAATGGTACACAGGGAGGTTGGATGGAGAGTAGGGGTTGTATCAAAGTGAATGGGATCACGGACTAAGATCAGTATACTTTTAATAATGAAAAATAATGATTATTGTTGGTTTGTTGTCCATTTTAATGCAACCATTACACTATTTTTTTCAACGTTTTAAATGTTTGCACTAGACCTCTAAGAGAAACAATTTTTTAACTTTACTTTCTTTCACTGTGTACTTAATCTCTATACATAAATACTACTTTCTTTCACTGTGTACTTAAGTACTTGACATAAATATTACTTTCTTTCACTGGTACTTAAGTACTGTACATAAATATTACTTTCTTTCACTGTGTACTTATAGTACCGCACATACATAATAAGTAACAAAAACAATGTTTTGATTTTAACCCTTGAACTGTGGCATGCATCATTCTGTGGTGTGGAGCTTTTCAGAGCTTTTTGAGTGCCTTTTGAAATTGCATTAAATAAAATAGAAATATTGATGCAAGACCCCAATAATTATATATTTTTAGAAAGGTAAATGGATGGGGATAAAGTTGGCCATACTGCCCACCCCGTAAAAAAAATTTTGCTCAGTGTCCTTTTTACCTTGGAGTGCTCAAGAAAATAAAAATCGACAAAATGTCTTGCTTTCAAGTGCTCATAACATCATTAATTTTTATAGACACACTTAAAACACAAATCTAAATGTTGTAGCCAATTCTTTATCTTTCAGAAAATGTATAGTTTGCTGAGGTTTTGATTGCAATTAAATCCCTGAAAGCAATTTTAGTAATTTTAGGTCATTTATATAAGAAAGTGGGACCACAGCTAAAACCAAGTACAAAATGCAAAATCTCAGGCAAAATAGTTCTTATTGACTAGTAAACATTTAAAAAGGAACTGTGGAACTGATTTGGGTTGTTAAACTATACAATTTATTAGTTCTGATCTATAATCTGTAGCTTCTGTGACTAAAATTCAGTCAGTCCTTACCCAAACTCTGTGCCTGACTCGAAGTCAACCATTAGCCTCAGTGGGCCTACTTTTGTATCACTAAGACTAGTATCAGATTCACGAAAAAAAGAAGAATCTGAAGTGAGATGTCATGGGGAATGTTAAAATCATCATCAGTATCACTTAAATCCTCTCCTAAAGAGCTTTCAAAAATACTTGTTTTAGTTTTCGCACTGAAGGCCCGGCCATAGCTTCCGCCATTAGCTTCCGCCATTTTACCTTGAAAAAAAAACAAAGATATAAATATCTGATAAAAAAGTACTTATTGTTAAGTTATCAAGATACAGCTTGACCTGGAAGTTGGTTTAATTATTAATAAAAGGAAGTGCCTATGATTTCGGTTAAATATTGGATTGGAAGTTGCTATCGGACCGTGTTTTTTATCGGCCGATTTTTTTCTGCCGCCACAGCACAGACCGATGAAATCGGCCGACCACAGTTGGAGGGTTAAAATCCACTTTCTTTTATTTTTTAGGTTCATGTCCGAGAAGCTGTCCATTTTTGGGAAACAGCCCTGAAAGTTCGTTCATCTCAACTGCCAATCAGATTGCGTCGCAAGTGCTCAACAAATCAAGTGAAATACAGAAACAAAACAGCTTACTGCATGAATGAATGCATGAGCACAACTGTTTGTGGAGACATTACTATACCAGATGAGCATCTAGAGGTAGTCACCAACTTCACACTCTTTGATTTGATCAATATAAATCTACAAATATATATATATATATATATTGAATTGCTGTTGAAACATTACTATATTATTTAAAGAAAGAGTGCTTTAGTCACCCTAAACTTATTTTTACCCAAATGTTGGGATAACTAGAGTAAAGTAGTCATGGAAAAAATTAATTGAGTTAAAATGTCATTTTTACCGCAATTTTTGGATTGTTAAATAAAAATTATTATTACAAATATTGAAGCAAATGATTAAATTTAACTTGTTTTATCCCTTTCTCTCTGGATCAACGTTCCCATCATTGATTTTTAATGAGGTTCCGGACAGATGGAATTTTAAATGAGGTTCCGGACAGATTGACGATGGGATCCTCGATGTATAAAAACCTGTTTATTTCAGTTTTTTTCTTAGTTATTGGTATTTAGTTACTTTTAATCAAATCTAGAATGATTTCCCTTTAATAAACCCCAGGTTTTTCTTTATTTCTTAAAGTTTTTACATAGAACGAAGTGTTTGAAGCGGTTGTTTTGATTGTCCATTTTATTTTTTTTACAAACATGAAATTGTGACCCATCTTGTGATCGATCTACTAAAGGTTGAAAATATTACTCTGATGATGATTCAGGCAGTGTTTTTATGATTTCAGATGCAGAGGCTGATTCGGATGAATCATATAATTATAATCCTATTACTAGTAGTACTAGTGACGAAATAATGAAATTAATAATTCATCAGCTGATGAACAACCAGCCCCGCCCCTAGCTAAAGTAAGCCTTCTAGAAGAGCTAACACTGTTCCTTCTATGAGTAATGTAGATTCTAAAAAGAAGGCTGATGATCTTAGCACTAAAACTGAGTGAAATTTCAAATTTTTATTATGAAAAATGTAGGTCTAAATTTGGAGCTTGTATTGGGACTAATAAGCCAAATGACCTTGACTATTTTTTTTAAATATTAGCTAGACACACATATTATTCACAAGCTTCTTGTACTCTCAGTAAATCAGTATGCTTCCTACAGAATTAAAATCAACACTCCAACAAGATATATCGAAGCAAAACATGTTCCTATGTGGACAGTGTGCAAACACTTAGAAGGGCTAACTGTACCTGTATACGTTTTTGCTGGATGTGAGACAAAGCAACACGACCATATGGATTGTTTTCAGGCTTACCATAGCTAAACCCAAATGAAACTTATGAAAAATTTATGGTAAATTTTCTATTTACCATAATAAATGTTAGTAAATACAAGGATGCAGTGCAAATATTTTCTAATAGCAACAGATTGTTTCCAGTGGAAATAGTTTTTTCTGACATTTTTTGCGTGGCAGTGACAATGATCTGCTCTGGTGTTTCATTTTTAAAAAATTTTTTAATGTGATCTTTATTATTTGTGATGCACATATGGATATAGATTAGAAAAAAAAAAAATTTGTTATACTTTGGATTATATATTTCTCTTTGTGTGACCAGGAATGAACATTTCGTGAACAGTTGGTTAGTTTTTTGTTTAAAATGTTTATTTTCCTTAAATCATAATTACATTTATATATTAAAATTTAAACCCAGTCTGTATTGTCTATAAAGAGCTTGCATTCCCCTTTAATTCCATACCCAACTTAACATTTTCTGAAGAAAAACAAAAAATTTATGTTTAGAGATAACATAGTAGTCCATAACAAATAGGCAAAATGGATAATTTCGTCAGAACGCGGAAATTAATTCCGGAGAGAAAGAGTTAACATAAACCCAACTTTAATAAGTTGAGCAGGTTTCTTCGTATTTTTACTGTTTACAACTTATCTAGGTCAGATTATATTTCCCGCTCATGCAAGTCATTGTGAACACCTTTGATTAATTTAGGAGCAGATCTGTTTGTTTTAATTCAAAGGGCTAAACTGTGAGTGAGGGTTACAGGAGGGGTACAGGAGGGGGTACTGGAGGGGGTACAGGAGGGGGTACTGGAGGGGTACAGGAGGGGGTACAGGAGGGGTACAGGAGGGGGTACAGGAGGGGGTACAGGAGGGGTACAGGAACTTTACTTTATGCATGAAGGAGAAGTAGACTTGCAGATTTCCTATTATTTAGTAGCATTTCATTGTTTTTCTGGAGACATTTTTTTTGTATGATTTTTAAAAAAAAAAAAATTTAAGTTCAAAACAAAGCTTATGTTAATAGTATTTATCAAAAACTTAACCTAAAAAATTTAGTTTTTTTCAAATTTTTACAGTGACTAACTAATTTTGCTTTTGACTCAAGTGAAGAAGTATTCAAATTGTGATGCAGTCAAGACTTTAAATTCTATTATTATTGAATGGTATCAATATTTAGTGTAGTTATATTTATTTTCCTTACATTTGAATGTTTTAAATTTATTGATAGTTACATTTGTATTGTTCCAATCATGGGATTTTTTGCTCATGTTCCAATAAGTAGGTTAAATCACCTGGCAGCTTTAGCCACCACCAAGAAGAGTAATATATATTCCGACTGAAATACTATTGAGTTAAATTTAAAACAGTTACACTCAGCTTTAGTTTGAAAGAACTTTTTCATTCTAATCAAAAGAAAATACTTGACACTAATAAATAATTAGTATCAATGGAAAGAGTTGTGGCTAAATTATTTTCTTTTCAAATATTAGACAATTTTTCCATAATGCCGTGGCCAAGAAATTATGTATATAAACTGCTTACCTCAAAGTTTGACCTGCATTACAATGCTACAAAAAAAAGTCCTCTTTCAAAACAGGGTTGCCTGTACTACAACATTTTCACCAGGGAATATGTCCAGGAAGCCACCACATCCCCAGGGGTTGACAACACAGATTTTATCCTGTACATAGCCAGCATACCATCAAGGAAATGTAAGGAAGGGCAAACCATCGCCTATGCAGCACACTGTCAGCAAGAGGAAGCTTTGGACAGGTGAATAAATGAAGTCATATAATAGTAAATTAAGTAAATGGTGGTCAATAATATGTTCTAACAATACATGAATGACTTCCCAATATTTGAGTGAATAAATTTCCTTTTATGCTTGCCAGAACAATGCCATTGTCGCTTATTAATTTAAATAATAGTAATTTAAGTTCTATTACTTTGTGACAAAATTATAACGTGGGTGAATTTTTTTGGGAATAAGCAATTTTCCACTTGTTTTTCAAAAATGCTATATTAAGATTATATTTTAAAAAAATTTTTTTTAAAGATTCTATTTAATTAAGATCACCCTCTTCCAATTTTCACAGAAAGACACACTAAAAAGCTCACCTTGCATAATTGTTTTTTTTTTTTTTTTTTTTTTTTTTTTTTTTTTTTGTAGGCCTGTTGCAGGTTATTTCAGCATCTGTCCAAACTCTATTTCCTCTTCACGTCAGAATCAACAACAGCTTCTGTCCACAATGAAACATGAAATTCTACATGCACTTGTAAGTAGGTATTTAATGCATGTCATAAAAAGTGCCAATCACAAGCACAATTTCATAGTACATCCAACAATACATTGGAGATTTGAAAACAAGACAAAAGTGTTTTAAAACATTAGAGCAAGCAAAAAAATAATAGCTAGATATAAAAAGCACTAAACTTAAATTAGTTGTTTTTTTCATATAAAAAGCACTAAAATTTAAATTAGTCGTTTTTTTCATATAAAAAGCACTAAACTTAAATTAGTTGTTTTTTTCATATAAAAAGCACTAAACTTAAATTAGTTGTTTTTTTCATATAAAAAGCACTAAACTTAAATTAGTTTTTTTTTCATATAAAAAGCAATGAACTTTAAATTAGTTTTTTTTTCATATAAAAAGCACTAAACTTAAATTAGTTGTTTTTTCATATAAAAAGCACTAAACTTAAATTAGTTTGTTTTTTTCATATAAAAAGCACTAAACTTTAAATTAGTTTTTTTTTCATATAAAAAGCACTAAACTTTAAATTAGGTTTTTTTTCATATAAAAAGCACTAAACTTTAAATTAGGTGTTTTTTTTCATATAAAAAGCACTAAACTTTAATAAATTAGGTTTTTTTTTCATATAAAAAGCACTAAACTTTAAATTAGGTTTTTTTTCATATAAAAAGCACTAAACTTTAAATTAGGTTTTTTTTCGGGTGGACTTCAAAGATATATAATTTATATTAATAGATATATTAATAATATTCAAATAGTAATGTTAGCAATGATTCATAGTGCCAACAAGTCATTGTAGAACTGTCCATGGAATGGAACTCCCCCTATACCTAAATTTTATTGACTACAAAAAGGCCTTTGATAGCCTGGACCAACAAACGTTGTGGAAACTTCTCCAGCATTATGAGGTATCAGGAAAACTAGTCAGGATCATTCAGAGTTCTTATTAAAGAAATGACACCCAGGATGGTACATGAAGGTAGACTCGCAGATCTATTTAAAGTGGAAAAAGGAATCGGACAAAGGTGTCTCTTGTCTCCCTTTCTATTCATCCTTGCCATAGATAATAAAAATATCCACAAACAAAAAGAGGAATGGGATACAGTGAACTCCCTGGGAACAACTGAATGACCTAGACTTTGCAGATGGAATTGCACTTCTGTCCCACAACCAGCAACAAATGCAGGAAAAAGACAAAAGTTGTAGTCACCATTTTAGCACAGCTTGGACTAAATATAAATTATAAATAAAAGCAAGACAAAGATCATAAAGGTGAACTCAGAAAAAGAGCTTATCTCTCTAGCAGGACTTGCACTGGCAGAAGTGGAGGCCTTCTCATACTTAGGCAGCACCATTGCATAAATGGTGGAACCGAAGCCAATGTCAGGGCTAGAATTGGAAAAGCTAGGTCAGCATTTGTGTTATTAAAGGAAATATGGGAGTCAAAGGAGCTGACTCTGCAAACCTAAAGTCAGAATTTTCAACACAAATGTAAAAGCAGTCCTACTCCATGGACCGAAACTTGGAGAACAACTGGTTACATCAGAAGGAAAAGATGGATGTGGATGGGGCACACTCTCCGCAAAAGCCTAGATATAATTACCAGGCAAGCCCTGACATGTAATCAACAAGGAAAAAGGAAGAGAGGAAGGCCAAAGAATACATGGAGAGGTGAGCTAGAGGCAGACACACAAAGTAATGGGATGCATGTGGAAGCATCTGGAAAGGAAAGCATAGGACCATGATGAGTGGAAAATTCTTGTTGACAGCCTGTGCCCCAGACGGGGTAAAAGACATAAACGAGTCACGTATTAATTTAGCAGAATTTCTTCTTTTGTAACAAATTGTCGCATCATTCAATATATTTCTTGTGTGATGTCAATGGCAAGAGTTAAGTAATAATTTTTCTTTTCACATATCAAGTTCGATTGATTTCTAATATCAACTATATAACTTATTAATTGATTCAGCTGTGTGACATTAAGTCGAATGTTTAAACTTTTTACTAGGGTTTCACAGCTGGACTATATGCCTTTTATAGAGATGCCCAAGGGGAGCCACTCACCCCAAGAAATCCTCTAAATGGCAGGCCTACACAGTTTAATGAGGAGTAAGTCTCATTGAAGATCTAATTTAATGTGTGTGGAAAATTCATGCAAATTAAGACAGACATTTCAATGTGGATTTTGCCAGAGAAAGCAAATGCTTGGTAGGAAATGTAATAGAGACCATTGTATCCTTATTTGACAATGGGAATTTACTCAAATAATAATTAAATAATAATTATAAGCCCTTTTTAAAATAATGATTATGTGAGATGTATGTTTTATGAAAAAAAAATAGGTTTATTCACATATGTGGTATAAATTAACTTGGTTGTTTCACTTGGGATTCACACAGCTAAATAAATCTTAAAAAATCAATCTGAATAAATGTCGTCCGGTCCAGAGTTTAATGTTTGTTTAATGTATAGAGCATCCTGCGTCTTGCTTTCAGGCTGGGCATGTTCCTGTACAGCTCTGATGTTGTCAGAGAGGTGGAGAGGCCGAACTGGTTGCAGATCTCTGGGATAACAGAGAAAAAGATTCACATGATGGTCACTCCTAAAGTCAAGGTAATTGGGCTGTCGTACAGTAGTCATTAGCGTTACTTCTCCCAGGTTTTCCGGTAAATGGAACTATTTCTGATATATTACAGTATTATTTGCAGTGTACGATGTTTCACTGTGAGAAACCAATGATAAGTGATTTTTGCTTTTATTCCAGTAAGACTCTTGCCCTTATTTCTAATTTGAAGTATTAACATGTAGTGGATCTTTTAAGGGTGTGTGTAGTTTGGTTGGGAGAGGGAGTGGGAAGGGAGAACTGGTTTCAACATTCAGCACACTAGGCAGGACACCTTGTGTCTTTCCTGGAATTTGAATTTTGAACCATCAGAATATTTGTCCTTTGATTATTATTTTTTCTGGTATTTGTTGTCAAAGAAAACTCTTGTATGAGGTTTTTAGAACATCTGTAATTATCCAAATAAATTATAAATGGAACTGTTCTCCTTGATTTAGACCTTTGAGGGGGTTAACTACGAAAGTAGCTCACAGTCAAAGTGGCTCAGGCAAAGTGGCACAATCAAAGTGGCTCAGGCAAAGTAGCACAATCAAAGTGGCTCAGGCAAAGTGGCTCACTAAAATCTGAAATTGTCAAACAGTGCCTTTGTTTAGAGTTTCTAGTATATCTATTTTCAAACACTGTGTTGTAAGCTTTCTTACAAATCTGTTAGACCAACACTATGCTTTAGGCTTTCTTTCACAGATGTTAGTCAATCACTATGATTTAACCTTCCTTACATATCTGTATATTACACAGGAGGAAGTCCGCAGACATTTCAACTGCTGGACATTGGAGGGGGCTGAACTTGAAGACCAGGGTATTGATGGAACTGTGCTGACTCATTGGGAGAAAAGAGTGTTTGAGGTGGGCTGCAAAGGTCACTTGAAGACCAGGGTATTGATGGGACTTTGCTGACTCATTGGGAGAAGAGAGTGTTTGAGGTGGGGTTCAAAGGTCACTTGAAGACCAGGGTATTGATGGGACTTTGCTGACTCATTGGGAGAAAAGAGTGTTTGAGGTGGGGGGGGGGGGGCAAAGGTCACTCTTTGTGTAAAGGTTTATGAACACTGTTACTTATCACAAATTTTGACCTACTTGGTTCTTAAATTTCGGTGACTCATTGGGAGAAAAGAGTGTTTGGGGTGGGGGGGGGGGCAAAGGTCACTCTTTGTGTAAAGATTTATGAACACTGTTACTCATCACAAATCTTGACCTACTTGGTTCTTAAATTTCGGCATTGAAGACCTGACTTTTACGCTGAACGTTCTGGATTTCAGCATTACTTTATCATCAAGTTTGGACATTAGAATGAATCGGCCTGCAATTTTAAGGATTCATCATTCAAATATACCTAAAATAAATGTTTAAACTGAAATTTTAGTCTTGTCAAAGGCTATATGAAGAGTAATAATGTTATATGAAGAGTAATAGTAAGGTTATTTGAAGAGTAATAGTAAAGTTATATGAAGAGTAACAGTAAGATTATATGAAGATTAATATTGTAAGGAAACCGGGGGTCACGCCTCGTTCCTCTATCTACTTTATGTGGATGGTAACCTCGTTCACTCTGTCTCTCGGCAATATTCAGGTAATAACACTTTGAGGGTTATAATCTTGTTCTTTTATTGGGCTGATACTTCGCTTATACTTTCTCTCATCTTGAAACTCTGACTGTATTCTACTCCTGTCCAGTAGACTGTCCGACTCGCCCTCTGTCCGGCTGAGTTCTCCCCGACTGTCCACTACCCTGTCTGGCTCAGTTCTCCCCGACTGTCTGTTTCCCAGTCCGGCTGAGTTCTAGTTAGTTCTGTCTAAAGGTCTCTATTTATATGTCCCTGAATTAGTTGCTGCGTCACTAGAGTTCCCCCCCACGTGGCGTTAATCTTTAGCTACATCTTTGGCACTAGAATTTCTTCTAGCGCCTCCCGTCGTTTAAATGGACATTCACTGACCACTGGACACACATAATAGCCTCGCCACGATGTTATCTTCCAAGCTACAACAATTGGTCGGTCGGGCAGCCTCCGGCAGGTCCGGGCTGACACTGAAATCTGTCTTAACACCCCTTGCCGTTTAACTGGCCATTACCCAACCACTACAAGCGTTCGCAATAGCGTCGTCCCAGTGTTATAGCTACACCCGTTGGTCGGTTACCCCGCTGTGAGGTTCTCCCTACCCCTGTCGCACACAGGTTTGAACTCTCCACAATATTAAGGTTATATGAAGAGTAATAATAAGGTTATATGAACAGTAATAGTAAAGTTATATGAAGAGTAATAGAAAAGTCTGAATGTGCTCATTGAGTCGATCAGTAATAAGTGTGTCAGTGAAATAGGTTTGCTGTGTGCACCAAATGTTGTGTCCTCCTCAGAATGAAGCCATGACCGGGACATACACACAGAACTCTGTGATATCAAGGATTACACTGGCCATGATGGAAGACACTGGGTAAACTAGTCTTAAGCTTAAGAACTCTGTGTTATTACTGTTAGTGATCTCAAACAAGAGTTATAACTCTGTCAGTGAGGCTGAACAGGAGTTATCTATTTGCTCAGTCAAGATTGTAGACATAAGGAAAGCTATAAAGTTAATTTGAGTTGTTAAAATTTTTTTTTTGTAGGTTGGTGTTCCTCTGTTCAAAACTGGTTCTATTATTGGGTTACTAAAGCAACGTCGGTTTCAATGAGTTGTGTGTTGTTTCAGTTGGTACAAGTCAGACTACTCTAAAGCTGGAGATTATGAGTGGGGTAGAGGCCTGGGCTGTGACTTTGTTCAGAACAGCTGTTACCAGTGGATCAGCACAAGAATGGCCAGGTAGGTGGCTTTGTTCAGAGCACCCTCTACCTTAACAATAGATCAGCACGACACTTGCCAGGTAGGTAACTGACCAGCCTCTCATTTATATTGTTTATTTTACTGGGTGTCCACAGCTATGGATGTATCGTAATATTTTGAAATTAAAATAGAAAAAAAACTCTGTTAAATAAATGGAGATAGACACACAGAGTAAAAATAAGGATGATTTTTCACTGTTGGTTTGCAATACCTTTGAAGTAGTAACTTTTCTCATTTCTAGGTTTAGTGTTTTGACATAATGAAAGTTGTCATATATAACATGTGGCATATTTACAACCTATAGTGACATTTATAACATATGTGGCAAATTTACAACTAATGGTGACATTTATAACATATATGGCAAATTTACAACAAATGGTGACATTTATGAGATGTGACACATATGCTGGAGAAGTATGTCTTTACTTTCATGATAGATTTCATTAAATGGTTATTCTCTTCCACAGGGGTGAATCCATTCATCCCTTCTGTGACCAAATCAAACGGGGTGAGTTGTGGACTGACTGTGCGCACAACAGGAAGTCTGTGGCTCTGTGCAATTTAGTGGAATATGGCCAGCCACTACCGGCTAAATATCAGGTCAGTGTATAGAAATGCTACCCAAAATGTATTTCAGTGATCCCCAAACATTTAGAATACAGGACTTCATTGAAATGCTTCATTTTGAGTACAGTTTTAAACATAGCCAAAAGTCTACAACTTAATCTTTATTGTAGTAATTGGATGTAGTGTGTCGAAAGTGCTGAGATGTCGGTAATCCTTATTGTAGCAATTGGATTTGGTGTGTCATAAGTGGTGAGATGTTGGTAATCCTCAGTGTAGCAATTGGATGTAGTGTGTCATAAGTGGTGAGATCGTAATCCTCATTGTAGCAGTTGGATGTAAAGTGTCGGTAATCCTCAGTGTAGCAATTGGATGTAGTGTGTGGTATGTGGTGAGATGTCGGTAATTACGAAGGATTTGTGAATGTTTTTTGGTATAAATGTCCCTGATCTTGTACAGGGTGGAAGAAACACATTTCAGGCCAAGGTAAATGCCTGGATCAGGAGATCCATGTTCATGTTTTTCCTTACATCAGCATTACACATTTTTTTAAAAAATCATGATTTTTCATTGACGATCATGAATGTTTAATGTAAGTGTTATTGGTGCAGACAAAGGAACGTCTTACCTCTGAGCTGTGCGTAAGATACCTTAGCTCATGACATGAGAACATTGTGTTGAGTGTTAATCGACTTGAAGTCTGAACGTTGTGAAATATACCATTATTGAGTAACCATTCCTAGACTATGGGTGGCCAATCTGTTTCCTGAGAATAGCCAAAGTTGTTGCCAATGAAACATAAAATTCGCCACACCATATATGTATGTATATATATATCATATATATATATATATATAAATATATATTATATATGATATATATCATGAAACACTACTATTAAAAAAAATTAAATGAAGATATAACCTGTTTTTAAATGCCACCAAAGACGCAGAGTGTGCTAGCACTTTTCTAATTTCCATCTCTTGTATTTTAGTTTTTTTTTATATGACTATCAGAATGTTTATTATGTTAATTGATACTGTATATTTTAAAATAAAGTTTGTGAGCAAGATTATTAAACATTTGACCATTCTTAAAATCATAATATATAAGACAACTCCACTTTCAGTATTTTGACTCGCTTCCTGGCATCTCAAGAGATGACGTTGGTAGATTCGCTGGCTCCGTGGCCCTGGCCGATTATTGCCCTTACTTACAGGTTTGTCGGAGTCCATGCATTCTCTTACATTTTATTCAGATAAGTTGTGCATCTAAAGATTTGGGTTGTCACTAGGTTATCAGTCTTGGCATATTTCTGCAAGCAAGTGCTTTCACCTTGGCCTCATGACAACACAGTGTTTCTGTTTTGATGTGTTGCAGGAGTTCAGCTGGACTAATGAGAACAACGTACCTGTGAGGGGATCAAACTGCCAGGAAGCTGAGAATAATTTAGGTCAGTTGTTTTAGATATTCCTTCATATGTAGTCTTGTTTAAATAAGCCATAATTAACACACACACACATATATTATATATATAGTCATATTTAGACATTTATATAGTCAACATCATGAAAGAGCTTTTATTTACAAGCTAATCTTTCAATACAAACATGAAATTTTTTTTACTTGAGTCTAGACAAATGGTGTGTTACAACACATGTGTAAGTCACAAGGTAATACTCCAGTGGTGTGTTACAACACATGTGTAAGTCACAAGGTAATACTCCAGTGGTGTGTTACAACACATGGTAAAATCACAAGCTAATATTCCAGTGGTCTGTTACAACACATGGTTTAGCCACAAGCTAATACTCCAGTGGTTTCGCCATAACTTGATCTCAGCTTGATTGCAAGATTAACTGAATGTTTTAACTGACTCTGTCCCCCCAGAAAAAGCTGGTAATTTTTTTGGTGAAAGTTATGGTGAGAACAGTTTGTGTTTTGAACATGCCAGTAAGTGGTACCTCCACCAGTGCTCTTCTACCAGGAGTCCCCAGCATGCTGGCAGTGGGTGCTACCAGGTAGGTGTGTATAAAGCCAGCAAACAAACAAAAATGTCTATTCTTAGGACAAAGGGGCATTTTGAAAAAAAAATTGAATAATTTATTTTAGTTTGAGTTTGGAATTATGGTAAATTTCCTTCCTGGATTATAGTGAAAGCTGCCTGTCCTGGATTATAGTGAAAGCTGCCTGCCATGGATTATTGTGACAGCTGCCTGTTATATTACTGTGGGTGATATTAAGGTTACTCAGAGAGATTTCTTGTGGATTTAATCTTTATGAAGTCAGACTTAATTTATGTGACCCGAGTTCTCATTAAAACCCTTTGCATCCTGCACAGTACTCTTGTGTCGAGGGTGTGGGTCTGGTGATACAGCTTGAGAATCAAACCTATCGATGTTACCGAGAGAAGCAGGTGATCAAAGTAATATTCCAGTCATCGGAGTATATCCATCAGGGGAGTGTAGTCTGCCCAAACTGTGATCTCATCTGCAGGGTAAGGCCAAAAAGAACACAGATGATTTAGTTTGAGCAAAGTTTTTATTGGCATCTAAAGTTATCTACCAGCACCATATTTTCTACTACAATCTTAAGTTACCACCAGCCCTATATTTTCTAATACAATATAAAGTTATCTACCAGCCCCATATTTTCTACTACATCTTCTTCCTCTGTCTTCTCTAAACTTGTCACAGATAAATTCTGTTACATTTATCAGTTACAATTAAATGGATGATATAAAGCTGATATATTTCTCAGGAGAAAGGTGTCACATGTCCACCAGACTCCCAACCCCCCAACCTGCCATCCCTCGTGTTTGAAGGTTTGCTGTGCACAGCACCCGGCTTCCATCTACAACGATTAACCAAAGTCTTTCTGGGGTGTCTGCTGTGTCTCCTAATTTACAGCTGGCGACTGAGCAATTTCTGTTTTTTTATATAAACTTAACTTATATCTAGTGAGTGGGCGAGTAACGTTTGATATGTAGACTAAAGATGTGTTGCCTTTGTGCGAAACCCTCATATTATGTAAAGCTTACATTTAGCTCATTGGTCTTTACATTGTTATAATGTGCAGGAGTAATTTCCATGCTGCAATTATTATTCTATTAAAACGGCGATGTTCGCTTTTCATTTTATAATTAGAAAGTAGCAATATGAAAATTTAACTTTTATTTTAAATTATGATTTGTTTTGAAGAATTGCTGTTTTTGTAAGAATAATCAAGTTTTTGTTACTGATAAATTGATGTGCAATTAATACGCATGCCTAAGAATTTGACTGTTGCAAATCTGTTGAAGACTTGAGTTGCTGGAACATGTTGAGCTGTGGGCATTAAGGACAGGGCCCTTAACAATGGAATATAGTTTATTTATATTTGTAACAGCTGCATGATCAAAGAGTTCATGAGAAAAGAATGCTCAGCTTGTGTTCAACAAGGTTGTGTCGTTTGAGATCATGTGTTCAACAAGGCTGGGTTGTGCGCTGTCATGTGTTCAATATAGGTCCAGTTTAAAGTGTGCAATTTTTAAAAAAAAAACGTTTAATAACATGTACTTTTTTTGGCATTGTGTTCTTACTTTGATGGAGATTCATATATTTACAGTAATCATCTTGCAATAGATTTTAAACATCTTCAGTTTTCAGCCAATGTTTTGGTCAATTCTTCCATTTTTAAAAAAAAAATTCTTATCAAGCCTTAAGGGCGTGTTTCATGTATTTGACAAATTGGAGTGTTTATTAACTCTTTTTTTTTTTTTTTTTTTTTTTTTTTTTTTTTGTAATTTTGTTTTTTTAAAATTTTTTTTTTTCTTTTTTATTTTTTTTTTTTTTTTTTTTTTTTTTATAAAATAAATTTCTTCCCCACCTTTTTTTTTTTTTTTTTTTTTTTTTCTTTTTTTTTTTTTTTTTTTTTTTTTTTTTTTTTTTTTTTTTTTTTTTTTTTTTTGGCAAATGTGACTTTTTAAAAATGATTTAGTCACTTTTCAGTTCAAAAAAATTCACTGTACAGTTTATTTTGTACATTTCTATTGAATAATTTATTTACATAAACAGTCTGTGCAATTTTTGTTAAAACTCCACTTGAATACATTAACAGCAGTAGTATGACTTTCTCCTGTAAACTATTTAAGATTGTAACAGACAATCAATGTTTCTTTTGATATTTTTATCAGTAATTTTCATTGGTTACTTTTAGAAGTAGATCAGTGGTGCTTGTATAATCTTACATTTCAAAATAATGGCTCAGCATCAAGTCAATCATAAGCTTTCCTGTATTTTTATAGTAACTTTTCATAGCAATAATAGTTAAATCTGCTTAGAACCAAGTGCCATGAAGATGGAGTATCTTTGTTATCACTGTGTGTGATGGGCTATACCAAGTTTTTTTTAGTACAATTGTTTGTTTTTTTATTTGCCTCCAAGCAAGTAAATCTTTGCAACTGAATTGTGTAGTAAATATTTGTTTGGGCAGACGTGTAGAGACCAGATTTCATTATGGACAATCTCAACAAAACTGCAGTGGGATGGAAGTTCTTTCCCTTTGTTTTGGCTTCACATATATTTTGTGTTCTTTTTTTTCAAAATGTTGATTGCATAATTTGCAGGAATATATTAAATGTGACATAAAAATCTTTAATTTTAAATATATTTTTTAAAAATTAGAGTTGTAAGAAAAGTCAACTTTTATTTCATTTTACTATTTGAAATAAGACATGGCTATTTTTGGAAGAATTATTTGAGGTTTTTTTTTGTGACTGATAAATAATGTGCAATTTTGTAGTGTGCCATAGAAAGGAGTAATTTGTCTGCAACTCTGTTGGTAACTTGAGTTACTCAATTTATGTCAAACGTTTTTTTAACAAAGTTATAACTGGAATTTTTTTTTTTTTTATTGCTTATTTAAACATTCAATGCAAGAATTTAAAAGGAAAAAAATTGGTCAATCTCTGCTTCCAAAGAAATTTTGTTAAATAAAATTATGGCCACCTAATCTTTTATTTACATTGACATGTCCTTAAAGTTGTATTTTCTTTGATTTTAATTTAGTTGTATGAAAATCTGGCAACTTTTCAACTGTGTATCACAGCACATCAGTTGAAAGCCATTTGATCCACAGCTTTAAGGCTATAAAATCCACACATGTACATCTACTTTGTATGGGTTGAAGTTTTATTTCATTTCAAACTATTTTGTATACTCCTATTGAATAATTTACTTTACTTAACAGCCTGTGCAATTGTTTAAAAACTCTACCAGAGGCCAGGACTTAATTTGACTTTGAACAGAATTGCATCAATTATCAATCTTTTTTTTTTCAGTATTTTTTCCAGTATATCATCCACACCCCATTTTTTTTGTAAACTCATTTCACATTCTCTCATATTTAAAACTTTTTTAAAGCAGTCTAGTGCTGTTGGGAGCGGAGCTACTATCACCCCACAGTTAAACAGCGGATAGCGTCTATGGTTGACAGAGATTTTTATTAATCTAAGTTATTTTAATCATCTGAGTACATCTTCCTGACCACTCCGTGAATCTCTCCTCCCCCCCCCCCACACACACACACACTCCTTTTTTAAAATCCTCATCGGTCATGAAATAACATCATTGCTTACTATGATGGTATTTTTAAAGATGGGGTTGTTGTTTTTTCATGAAAGCATTTATAAAATCATGTTTTTTATTGGATCGATTTAGTTTGTGTTCCACACCCAAACCCCCCCCCAACACATTTCCTGCCTCAGATTTCTTGATTTAATGGTGCTACTATCATCAAGGCTGATATTTCAAGTCTAACTATTTAACTGTTAGACCTTCACTGTACACTGTGTGCCATCATTAATTGCTCTTTGGTGTTGCTCTGCTTTTGATGTGATTGTTTTACAATTTATATTTGGAGGGCATTGACCTTGATCACACACTGGTTTTTATTCAGTTTGTTTCCGATAGTACTTTTCTATTGTGCATTCGGTTGGGTTGACCGGTTGGGATGACATAAACGTAATGCCCATTTAGACACTTTTTTTGTAATTAATAATTTCATGTACGAACCTGTAACATTCACTTTTAAATACCTGATGTTGATGTACAAGGATTAGCTTTGTCTTACACTTATAATTGAAATAAGACAATACATTACAAAACCTATTGTACAGCTGACTTGGGTCAAACACCAGGTGTACAGCTGACTCGGGTCAAACACCTGGTGTACAGCTGACCTTGGTAAAAAAAAAAAACTGTGTACAGCTGACTTGGGTCAAACACCCAGTGTAGGACAAGGCTAATGCATCTCTTGGTGACTTGTCATAGACCTGGACTTGACATTACATATCTAGGATGACTGCACTCTTCAAATAAAAGTGTTCCTGTTGTAACAGTGTATTAGATAATGTTATCTGAATCTGATTTTCATGTATGGTTTAATTTTGTTATTGCTTTCATTCATATGATTAACTAGATCAAGATGTCTTGATCATTCATATATTTAGCTAGATCAATATCTCTTGATCGTTCATATGATATAAACTAGGTCAATATCTCTTGATCGTTCATATTATATCAACTAGATCAATTTTTATTGATCGTTCATATGTAAACTAAAATCACTATCTCTTGATGGTGACAGTTCATGATCTTAGATTCCATTAGTTTTGTGTGACTGGAAGTTTGTTGATAAAGTAAAGCTGTGGTTAACTTGTGTGTCATTTTTTTTTTTTTGGCCAATTAAATTTTTACTTCTTTTAAACAATTTGGACTTTATTTACTTTCCAGTGTGACTGTGTGAGAAATACAGGGTTAAATGGAAAGCCATTAAACATTTAATGTACCAAAATTGTTAATTTAGTATGGGTACCACATCATTGATGGTAATAGGGGTGGGGGGGTGTGTGTTAAGGAGGGAGAGAGAGATGCATAAGATTTGATACAAGGAAATGAGTCAGACAAGTAAAGCTGTATTTAGGACATACAGACTTTTGGTTGAAAAAAACAATGTGTTGAGTTTTATTTTAAAGATAAACTAAATGTATTTTGAAAAAAAATGATTTTTATATTCACATTTTTTTAAACAAAATATTTATTTTATTTTTTTTAACATAAAAATATGTTTTATTTTTTTAAATTTTTTTTTCTTCAAAAAATGTAAAATTATGTCACAATATTTTTTGTTTTAAATATAATATTTTTTTAAAATTAAATGAACATCCTAAAGTTGTCTCCCTTTAAATAGTTAATCCTGGGTGTTCCATGATTATAATAATTTCATAACTATGCAAATAATTTTAATAACCCGCTCCCCCATCACCGGCCTGTCCATAAATATTCATGTGTTTAAATTCAGGATTTGATGAAATGACGGATTTAAAGATTCATATTTTCATCGTTTTTAATACGACTTTCCTCTTAATTAAGTCAATAACCCTGATTACTGAGCAGCTTCTAACTTTGCACTGGTCCATTTAATTAGGGTGTTTTTTTCCACTGAAACCTGAGATTTGTGAACCTTGAAATAGCGCTGTCCGTGGTC